TAACTATTGCGAAAATTGTAAAATGGTAGAGGACTTTTCGACTCAGTTTAGCCCGCTCTGTCTACACACAAAATAGTTCCCATTGCTCTGAGATATCCTGTATATCATGAATAATATGTGTACAGGACGGGAAAAAAGTCCCGAATCTCTGAAACATTTCGATGTGTATATATACGTGTACAATTATATACGTGTACAATTTGTAATTTATAATGTTAATAATAATAAAAATGATAAATCAATAATAATAAAATTGCATCTTTTAAAAATTTGCAGAATGTAATTGATAGATAAAAGTTTAGAACAAATAATCAAGGATAAAGAATAATTAAATTAAAATTAAATATTTAGGGATAAAGATATAAATCAAGAAAAGATTACAATATTCGTTTATTATATATATCTTGTATTGCAGAATTTAAATCTATTCGAAAACATTACATTGTAATAAAATTATATAAAAATTCAAAGGACATATAAGAATATATTTAAGAATAAAGATTTTATTCAAATTATAATTTATAATTATATAAACTTAGAGTTAATAAAATTATATACGCCTTTTATACTGTTTTGATATATAAATTTATGAATGTTAACTTTTTAATGAAAATTACATTTTAACGTAATATATTATTTTAATATAACGTCAAAATAATATTTCTTAAAATGTTTTTAAAATTAGTGTATCAACTCTTTGAATTTAACATACAAATTAATTATAAAAAAGATATACGTTTAATAGATAAATTCGAATACTCCTAAAAAAATTCTCTAAATACATTTTAATTCAAACATTTATCAAAATCTAAATGTAATAATATAAAAAGCGTATATGATAAATGAAAATATGTTACAGTCTCATTATCTGCCATTAATTTAATAAATTTTCCATTTAAGTTTGTTTTTTTATTTTAGAACAAAATTTTGAATATGATTTTTCTGAGATGTTACTTCAAATAAACGTTTTTTTATTTTATGTTCCATTAATGGTTTTATTTTTTCAAGTGTTATTATCTAAAACAAATTATTAAAATATTTATAATTCATAAACAATAAATTGTACTGTAAAAATTTTACATGACATAATTTCCAATTTAGAGAAAAATATTACGATAATATTAAGTTAAAATATTATGTATATAATTATTTGAAACTTTATTCATGTTTGTATTTTATTTGTATTATAGAATATGGAATCAAAGTTAATTCGGATAATCCATAATATTGCAACTTAAGATTTAATTACAAGTACATAGATTCTGTCGCGTTATTGAAATGTTATCAGATGTTTTAATCATTCTATTTATATGTTATACCTATATTATATTTTAAATTAGTATCAATGCAAATAAATAAACAGAACGAGCATCTGGGAAAATTCAGTTAATAAAAAATAGTCAAATTACTCGAAATTATTAATTATCCGAACTTGGATCAGTTTGGACGTTCAGTTTTGACATGATATAATTCACAAATATAATATGAAGTTTAATCGAATTCGATATTTAATATTTTACATATATAGCATGCATATAAATAAATACACATAATAGTAACATACATATAATAATAATTGAGTATTTTAAATTTATAAAATTTACCTTGTAATCAGCATTTTTTGAATAAAATTAATATTAATATGTTTTAAATTTGGATCTGGTAACTTGTTTAGAAAATCTTCTATAAATTTAGTTATCTAAAATTGTTTTAATATTTGTTGTTAATTAGTAACTTATCATCATATCATCATATATCATAATAACTGAATGCATATAATTTTTTTATGCAAGCACAAAGACAAGATATTTATAATAAGTAATGTATATAGCATAAATAAGATATAAATAATTATATTTAAATATATTAGCTAGTTTAAAAATAGTAAATTAATATTGTTTGCTAATATTATTTATATATAATTTACCGTGTCAAGATGTTTCTCAGAATACACATGATTAATAATATCAATTAACGCAACAATGGTATTGATTTTTCTATAAACAATATAACGAATTTGTAATTAGCGTGTCTAATAATAATCATAATTATAGTCAGTATATATTCATAAAGGAAAACTTAATTACCTGGGTTTAACTTTCTCAAAATTTGTTAATATGTAATTAAGTATTAAAGAATTGTTTGCATGCCTCACAATAATAGAATGAAAAATATCAATCAAAATATTATTCTTGATTTGATTCTTAGGATTTATTAACTCCATATAGGATTTATTAATTCCATATAATTGATAATGATTGTAACATTTTTAGTACAAGATAAAAATTTTAAAAGATTTTTATCTAACATATATTTATTTAAAACTTGTTTCCAAGTATCATAGTTTGCTATCATTAAACCTTTGCAGTATTTCCATTCTTTCCATTCTACGGAGAGATCATAACGTGCACTGTATACAAAAAAAAAACAAATTTATTAGAAAATAATAATTTATAATCTGTATTTTAAATAAAAATAATTACATTATAACATAAAAAGGAATTAACATAAAAGTAGGAAAAGAACATTATATTTATACCTGATTTTATCAGCTACAAGATGCCATCGTAACAAAAAGTAGCCTCTTTTTTACATTCGATAGAATCGAGAATGCATGCCCATTTTACAGCTTCTTGCTTGAAACTATTACTAAGAAAGTTTTCCGTATCTTCGTCGTATCCTACTTAAGACGTTTATTTAATATATTCCAAAAATTTTCCTAAAGTAATAAGATATAAATTTCAACAACTTTTTTGTTATTTAATGTAATAAAACCAGTATAACAGTATATCAACATATAATACGTCTATGAATTTCCGTTCTTTATTAAAATAAATATAATACGATAAAAGATAAGTGTATTTTTTTCAAAAATTATCATCAAATCTCTTGTATGAAAAAATTTTTTGCATATTACAGGGCGTGTGTGTTTGCGCTTTATTTCTGCCATTTTTTTTTTTTAAATATTAAATTTTTAGAGATGATGTATACAGGATGTGTCATAATTAATGATAAAATTCTTCTCGTGGGCAGGCTGCTGAAAGCTAAAATGTTATGCTTATATTATAGAATAGAAAAAGCCTCTATCATTTTGCTATCTTTATCATAGTTAATAAGATATTATTTTAATAAAGGTTCGCGAATAATTGTAAACGTGCGCCCGCATAAAAAGACAGTCTAATGTTATGCGCATTTATAGTTGTTAGAAACGCGACGAGTTGTTTAGAGATAAATGTAATAAACGAATGCTCTAACATTTGTATTTGTTAATCACATCTCTAAACATCTTGACGCACGCCTGCCAATAGATAACGCTAGGAGGTTTATTCGCAGATCTATATAAATTAATAATTCATTGATTATTATCAAAAACCCATCATGAAAGAGAATTTTTCTATTCGGTATAATGCGTTCTATATACCACGAGAGGTGATACAGTTATTACTGGACACCCTGTATATTATTATATTTAATTAATTAAATCTATTTTGTAATTTACCTTAATATCTTCACTTTCTTGAAATAAAAAGAAAGGTGACATGGATTCAAAAGCTTTAAACATGGGATACCATGCTACATAATCTTCCTCTTGCGATAAGTAACTTGAAAGTTCCAGAAATATTGACAAATTAAGCTTGTCTGTCGTCAAAAAGTGAAAAGCGTCATCGATAATTTGAGCACGGTTAAGAATATGTATTTCTTTATAATTCTTAGAATTCAGAAACTTCGCAATGTTTCTCCAGTTCTCAACATCGTAATTAACACGATAATATCCTGTTGCGTGCGTGCGCGCGCGCGCGCGCGCGCGCGCGCGCGTGGTGTGTGTGTGTGTGTGATCATATCTATATACTCACGTGTACACATATACACCTACACTATTGTGCAACATAACTTCTGCTCTATAGGCCTGTTCTTTTTATAGTTTATCTTTCTTTCTTACACTGAAAAGAGAAAGATAAACTCTGAACTAGTGCAGCCAATTCAGCTAAAAAGAACAGACCCTATGCATTCGTCTCTCGCGCTCCATGCTGGGTTTGTTGTATATACGTGAAGACTCTAACATAATTCGTAAATTAATAAAAAAAAAAATCACAATTTAATCAAAAGGCGCAAAAATGTTGATGCGGGCATCTACAATCGTTCATCGGCAGACGCTGCTAAAGTCATATGCGATTTCGCGGGTAAAATACTTTTGCGGCTTTTTAGAGGTTAAGTTATTAACTGGTAACGAGAAATAAAAAAACGATGGATTCTTATTTCAAAGAAACGATAGGTTACAATATGAGTAACAATGACTGAATGTCATAAATTTTACAAAAAATATACGTATGCATGTCGACAATTTTCTATTAAATACATTCATTTAATTGGATGTGTTGATATATTTTACTTTCATTTTTGTTTTTTTTCTTTCTATTCTTTGTTCTATTCTTTTTTATATAAGAATTTTATTATTGACTGATTGTTTACCATGATACTTTCTTGCTTATGTAAAGAATTCTTCTTTTAGGAAATTATTACACATAGGCATATTCATTTAGTTGCTCAAAGAAAAAGGTTTTTTAAAGATAATAATTTACTGAATCTATATAAGAACTGCAGAATTACAGGAATTTCCTTAGTTCGTAATGCAAGTACAAATGAAACACCATCACAAAAGACCACAAATCCATATGATGAAATACCAGGTTTGTATGAAGACTTCTTTAAAACATTTCTTGAAATTTATCAACATTTATCATAATGAATATTAAAGAAAAATAAGGCATATTAATTTATTAAGATTAATTTATTATGTAATTTTTTTATCTTTGAAGAAAATGTTATGTTGTGATAATAGAGAATAAGAAAACAAAAAAAATTTTATAAAATAAATGTATAATATATATATATATATATATATATATATATAATTAATTTATATATATATATATATATATATATATA